TGTAAGCCAACCTGTGTGACCAGCTGCTGCTGTCCACCCTGCTGCCAGCCCAGCTGCTGTGAAACCAACTGCTGCAAGACCATCTTCTGTAAGCCAACCTGTGTGACCAGCTGCTGCCAGCCCTGCTGCAAGCCAAACTGCTGTGAAACCACCTGCTGCAAGACCACCTGTTGTAAGCCTACCTGTGTGACCAGCTGTTGCTGCACACCCTGCTGCCAACCCAGCTGTTGTGAAATCTGCTACTGCCAGCCCTGCTGCTGTGAGCCCTGCTGCTACCTAACCTGCTGTGAAAACACCTGCTGCTAGACCACCTGATGTAAACCAACTCATGTGACCACTTGGGCCCTCTAATCCTGCTGCTGAGTCCCAGGCCTACTGCTCATCAACTTTCCAACTGAACAATGCCCAAACAACTGTCCTTGTGTCACACCAGTCTTGCCATGTGGGCAGAAGCTCCCATCGTCCTCTGAGGCTATGAGCACTTCAGAAGCCCATCAGTCACCTTGATGGAATGCAAGTCCACTCTCTCTCACTCTCCTTTTCTCACTGTATGAAGCCCTGTTGCGCTTTCTCTTCTGAGCCCAGATCTTCATCCTTCCCTCTGGATATCTGAGAAAGATACTCTACATAAAATCATCAAAAATGTACGGGAACTTAATAAACTATGGACTGTTATTCATTCCATGTTGTCAGTCATCATTACACTTGATAAATTACTTGATAGTAAGTAGAGTCATGTGCTCCAAAGACTTTTTATTGTGCAATATGATGAAGTCTGTCTCTCTCTCTCTCTCCTTTTCTCTCTCACTTGAGCACACAGTGTTGTTACAATTCCTTTGCAGCAGGAAACATAAACAGCATCTACTCCTCCTAAGGTCCCACCCACAAACCAATGCAGAGTCCCACAAAAGTTATCTCTGAGGAGTCAATGAGTTTATTGGGCCTCCTTACACAGCATAGATGATGGGTTGCTTACAGGCACATGGATGTGCCTCACTGAAAAGGCTACAGTGGAATGCCTTTATTTAGTAAGGAGTAGAGCTTTCCCATAGCTGCATAGATAAAGATCCATCTCTAGTCTTCTCTGGACCCTCCCCAAGACCACCCGCAGTTGGAGCAGAGTTGCATGCAGCTGGTGGTAGGGGACATACTCTGACATAGGACTCCTAACACTCCCAACTCCCTGTGAGGGATGTAAACAGTAACTAAGTCCTGCTGGATTGTCTTTTACTAAGGGCCACAGCTCTGTGATGGCACTTGTTCGGCTCAGAGGACAGTACTGTGGCACACACATAAACGTACACACACATGCGTGCACACGTACACACACACACACACACACACACAAACACACTTCACCCAATAACTTCTTTCATCTCTGGAATAATTGGAAGTTAACAGGCAATGGCTACCAGCTCCAAGTGTCTCTTACCTTATTCCCTTGAAAACTTTCTCGATGGCTCTTACCCCTGGAAAAACCTTCCTGTGGTTTTCTTCCCTGACTCTGACTCAGAAACCTATTTGAATGGAATTACACAGCCTGGTTTTTCTATACATCTACTGCTGATGAGTGCTTGCGTTGTTTGCACATCTTGACTATTGTTACAAGAATGAGCGTAAACATAGCAGGGTTGCTACTTCAGCCCTTCCTGTTATTGACCTGAGGTGACCTGCGAAAAAAGTGTGCCATTCTCTTGAGCAAGAAAACCTACAAATACTTGCAATTCAAGAGCTTCAAATGGACACCCTCGAAACTGACTGGTGATAAAAGGTGACACTGGTAAATGTGGCGCTGTCAAACAGTGGGGAATGACCTGGTGTCATTGGTCTATAGAGAATAGCACATTTCTGCTGCTCAGGCTTAAAAATAAAAAGAGTAATGTTAATCTCAAGGAATTCCATGTGGATCCTCAGCTCCTTAACTATATCTAGGTGAACAAACTGTATAAGATAGGCCATGGTACTTACTAAGTTCACAGCTGGATAACTTGATATTTCCTTAAGAGAAAATGCCATGAACCCCTTACCCACCTTACTTGGGTTTTGTCTGGCTTGATCTTAGGCAGATCTTGCAAATAGGTTTTGCAAATAGATCTTGCAAGCTGGTTTTCTTTATGGATGAGGGTGCTGAGACCCTACCCATGCTCCAGTACATGGCCCACTCTCTGGCCCATGCAAGCAACACTAAATGCTTTCAATGGGTATTAAATTTAAAAAAAAACTTACTAAACACTAAGTTTGATAAAAGAAAAAAGTAGATGAGTGATAATTACTTGTAGAAACACAACAATGAAGTTCAAAGCCCCTACTCACTGTGTAAACTCCTCTTTCCCTATTTATCTTCACAATGATCTCATTCTTAGTTTCCATGGAAACTGATTTACCAGTCACTACTCCCCTATTTTCCTTGGCTCTAGAAAAGAACAAATTTTCTCCAGAGCTTCATGGGTTGTTTACTTGTCAGTTCACATTGAGTATGGTGCAGGCATGCATAGTGGAACATGTATCAAGATATAGACAAATACAATGACTGTGATGGGTCAGCAGAGGGCAAAAGACTACCACGGCATTGGGCAGATGGAGGCTTCCTGTTGAGATTGTGGGGGTGGGAAAAAGAAATGAAGGAAAGAAGGGATGGAAAAAGGGAAGGAGAGACTAAGGATGGGCAGGATAGATGGAGGGATGGAGAGACAGAGAGAGACAAGGGAGAAAAAAGGAAGGAAGGGTGTTTCTAGTTTGTGTTATCCAATAAAACATTAAATATATGTTTCTCATATAGCCTTTATTATTTTGAAATAGGACCTATCTATTCCTAATTCCTCTAGGATTTCTGTTATTAAAACATGCTGAACTTTATCAAATGTCTCTTCTGTACTTTTTATGAATTATCATGAGATTTTTTTAGCCTTAAGGCTAGTTAATTGATGAATTACACTTATTTGTTTGCATTTGAACCAATCTTGCATTCCTTGAATGAAATCTACCTGGTGTTGGTTGTTATTGTTATTGATGATGTTGTTGTTTTTGAGAACGGATCTCACTAGGTAGACCAGTCTGACCAAAATTTACTATGATCCCCCTGTGTCTGCCTACCAAGTACTGGAAATAAAGGCATGTGCCACCATGCCTTGCTAAACCTGTTTATTCATGATATATGATGTTTTCAACACAGTCTAGAGTTCAATTTGTAGGGGAAGGGGCATTAGGGTCAGCGTATTGTATTTATGTTCTTGGAAAATAGGTCTATCATTTTCTTTTTACATTGTTCTTCTCTGGGTTTCATATCAGGATACTGCTGGTTTCATGGGATAAATTTGGTACCGTTTCTTTCCTTTTAAGTTCATAAAAGTTTGAGAAATATTGCCTCAATGTAGTTCCTGGGATCTGATAACATTCGGCAGTACCTATGTTCTGGATTTTCTTTGTAAGAAAATCTTTAATTACTGCATCAATCTCATTATTCATTTTCCAACTGTGCTGTCTTTATTTTAGTAAATTTATCCATTATGTCTAAATTTTCCAGATTTGGGGGAAATAGTTATTGCAGTATGTAATAATAATATGTATTTCATATGATAAGTAATGTATTTCTTTTATTTGATATTCGCATTCTTCATTTTATTAATTGGGCCATACGTTTATCAATCTTGTTAATTTTTTCAAGGAACCAGCTCTTTGTTGGTTGATTGTTCTTTTAGTCTCTAGCTCATTGATTTCTGCACTAATTTTTGTTATTACTTGCTAAATACTAAGTTTTAGATTCGCTGTTTGTTTTCCTAGAGTGTAAAGGTGCATCATTAGGTTGTCTATTTAAGACTTCTCTGAAGTTTTGTATGTGGGAACACTTGTAGCTGTAACTTTTGTGAATGCTTTAAATATTCCCCAGAAGAGGTGATATCCTGTACATTGATTCTCATTTGAGTCTAAGAAATTTTCATTTCTTCCCTATTTCTTCAATGACCCACCTCTTCACTCAAAAGCAAGCATTACAGCCTCTAATTATTCATGAAGTTTCTGTGCACTCTCTTGCTATTGGTTTCTCCGTTTATTCCACTTCTCAGTGAAAGAATACAAGACATTGTCTCCTTTGTGTATCTATTAACACTTGCTTTGTAGATTATGATGTGACAAATGTTTAGAAAGATTCCATGTGCTGATGAAAAGAATGTAAATTCCTTATGTGTGGAGTGGGATATTCTGTATATATCTATTAAGTCAAGTTAACATATGGCAGAATTGAACCTTAAAGCTTCTTTGCTGAGGTTTACTCTGATATTCAGTGATATTGTGATAAAATATGAGAGTGGGCCCCTAAACTCTCCCAATTGTCCTTGTATTGGAAACATTTCCCCTTAAAGCTGGAATGAGATGAGGCTCTTCACAACCTCCACTCTTGTTGTGTATTATGCTTAGTCTCAGGCAGTGCAGCAAGATAAGAGATAGATATCAAAGGGAAAGCAATGTGAGACAAGAAAGCAAATTTATGTCTGTTTAGAAGCTACATGATTTGATTATTAAAAGGTTTTACAGACTCTAAAGAAAACACTTATGTTTGGCAAACACTCTTATATGTAATACAAAGCAACATACAAAATCAGTAGTTTACATAGCAATAATGATCCCACTGGGGAAAAAAAGATAAGAAAACCATTCCATTCAGGATAGGTCCCCACAAACAAAGTTCTTATCAATGACCTTCACCAAGGAAGGACTGGGGCAATGAAGTTTTGAAGAAGATATCAAATGATGCAGAAGCCTTCCATGAAGAAAACACTTCAGGACTTGGACATGGGCAATAAGATTCTCAATAGCTCTTCAGTAGATAAGACAATAATAGCAACAAATGGAAGATATAACTGCAACAAATTAAATAGATTCTTCACTAATAAAGACACAATGAACTGAGTAAAAGACAGGCAACATAGTGGAAATATGTAAGAAACACCCATTCCCAATTATTCATCATTGGATTCACATCACGAATATAAAATGACTTAAAAATTAAAAACAAAATTGAAAGTAACCTAATCCATAAATGGAGAAATAATCTGAAATTCTCAAAAAAGTACAAATTTCTAGTAAATTAATGAAAAAATAAAAATATAAATATTCATCAGGAAAATGAAAATCAAAACTACCTATTTAAATCCCATCTCACCCAGTCAAGAAGGCTGCCATCAAGGAAACAAACAATAAATACTTAGGATATAGCAAGAGAAAAATACTCTTTTCATTTTGATGAGAAAGAAAATTATCATAATGTTTATGAAAAACAGTTTGAAGTTTTCTCAAAAATCTAAAGTAAAACTGCTACTCCTCTGTGTGCACATAAAGACACCAAAGTTAATATACAATGAAGAAAAGTCTGCCACCATGGCCATCAAGCAACTATTACTTTAGTCTGTTTGTAAGATCAGCCCAAGAGCACATCAATAGATTTCATAAATAGGTAAACTGTGCAGTATATAAATGAATGAAATCTCTCTGCCTTAAAGACTAAAATAATTATTTTGCAGGCAAACTGTGGGAATCAAGGTGTGATATTAAGTGAAGTAAACAAGATTCAGAATGGCAATATTGATTATGGAAATTAGAGGGGAAAATGACAGAAGCAAAACAGGAGAAAAGCAGACCTGAGTGAGGCAGCAGAGAGTGTACAAAGGGCGTTATGCTAACAGTAGGGTGATCAGAGTGTGCCTTACACAGGGAGGAAGTTGTCTAATATATTCTCTTGTAAAATTAATATATGCTAATAAAAATTCACCCTTTCAACATCTCAAAAGCAGTACATGTGAGGTTTTTAATTAGTACACAAAAAGTAGCAAAACTTAATTATCTAAGAATAATCTAGTCAACTACAGGTCAAACATTTGTCCACTTGACCCCTTTAGAAGACGTTACTTTTTTATAATGTGTCAGAGGGTGTGGAGGGCTCTGCAAACTGAAATTATTCCCTCTCTTTTGCTTAAAAATCAGGCAGGGAGCAGAGCAGAGAAAAATGTAAAGCTCAATAAAAATCAGTAAAAAAGACCTTACAATAGCAAGTCCTTAACAATAAAATATGGATGAATGAGGAAATAACCTGAAAAATAACTTCAAGAGACTGTTTGAAACTCTTAAAGAGGAAATGAGAAATTCCCTTAAAGAAATGGAGGAAAAGACAAACAAAAAATTGGAAAACATCAGCAAATCGCTTAAAGAAAACTTAGAAAAAGAAATCAAACATATGAAAGAAAATATTCAGGACTTGAAAATGAAAATAGAGACAATAAAGTAAACAAAAGCTGAGGTAATTATAGAAACAGAAATCAGGAGAAACCAATCAGTAACCACAAACGCAAGCATGAACAGCAGAATACAAGAGATGGAAGAAAGAATCTCAGGCACTGAATATATGATAGAGGAAATAGATTCATCAATTAAGGAAAACATTATATCTAACAAAAGCGTAACCCAAAATATCCAGGAAATATGGGATACCATGTAAAGGCCAAATCTAAGAATAATAGGTACAGAAGAAGGAGAAGAAGTTCAACTCAAAAGCACAGAAAATATATTTAACAAAATCATAGAAGAAAACTTTCCCAACCTAAAGTGATATGCCTCTGAAGATACAAGAAGCTTACAGGAGGGCACTGCCATGAAGGGAGAAGCTGAAACAGTAGATCCCGCAGTCAAGTCGATGGGCGTGGGTGGGGAGAAACCAAAGGATCAGGTAGCTACCTCTGAGAGTGAAGTAGGAACGGCTGTTCCTGAGCAACTGTCAGGGCAAGATGAAGTGTCACCAGCGGTGGCTGCGGAGACTGGGTCAGATGTCTCTGAGAAGCCAGGGCAGGAGATTACAGTTCTTTTGAACAATGGTTCAGTTGATGGACCATCAGCTGTAGGAGATCAGACTCCTAGTGAACCACAGACTTCTTCAGAAAGACTGACAGAGACTAAAGATGGTTCAAGTGTAGAGGAGATGAAGGCAGAGCTGGTTCCTGAACAGGAGGAAGCTATGCTACCTGTAGAAGAGTCTGAGGCAGCTGGAGATGGGGTTGAGACCAAGGTAGCCCAGAGGGCCACGGAGAAAGCACCTGAAGACAAATTTAAGATAGCTGCTAATGAAGAGACACAAGAGAGAGACGAACAGATGAAAGAGGGTGAAGAAACTGAAGGCTCAGAGGAAGAAGACAAAGAAAATGACAAGGCTGAAGAAAACACAAATGAATCAGTTCTTGAAAACAAGTCTCTTCGAGAAAACGAAGAGGAGGAGATTGGGAACCTAGAGCTCGCCTGGGATATGCTGCATTTAGCAAAGATCATTTTTAAAAGGCAAGAAACAAAAGAAGCTCAGCTTTATGCTGCACAAGCCCATCTTAAACTTGGAGAAGTTAGTGTTGAATCTGAGAATTATATCCAAGCTGCGGAGGAGTTCCAGGCTTGCTTAAGCCTCCAGGAACAATATTTGGAAGCCCATGACCGTCTCCTTGCAGAGACTCACTACCAGTTGGGTTTGGCCTACGGTTACAACTCTCAGTATGATGAGGCAGTAGCACAGTATGGCAAATCTATTGAAGTCATTGAGAAGAGAATGGCTGTACTAAATGAGCAGATGAAGGAGGCTGAAGGATCATTTACTGAATATGAGAAAGAAATTGAGGAGCTGAAAGAACTGCTACCTGAAATTAGAGAAAAGATAGAAGATGCAAAGGAGTCTCAGCGTAGTGGGAATGTAGCTGAACTGGCCTTGAAAGCTACTCTGGTAGAGAGCTCCTCTTCAGGTTTCACTGCTAGTGGAGCAGGAACCTCAGTCTCCATGATTGCCAATAGAAAACCAACAGATGGTGCTTCCTCATCAAATTGTGTGACTGATATTTCCCATCTTGTCAGAAAGAAGAGGAAACCAGAAGAAGAGAGCCCCCGGAATGATGGTGCAAAGAAAGCCAAGCAGGAGCCAGAGCTGAATGGAGGTAGTGGGGATGCTGTCTCCAGTGGACACGAAGTGGAAAACATGGAGGCTGAGGCTGAGAATCAGGCTAAAAGCCCAGCAGCAGCAGAGGGGACAGTGGAGTCTACAGCTACAGTTGAAGGCACTGCATGTTAAGAGGGAACAGAACCTTTCTCCCAAGGGAAAGCGGTTTTGTACATAATGTATTTTTTCACTTTTGGGGATTCTTTTTGTATAACTTCAATAAAGATTGTAGGCAACAAAAAAAAAGAAGCTTACAGGACACCAAATAGACTGGATTCAAAAAAAAAGTCCTCTTGCCACATAATAATCAAAACACTAAACATACAGAGCAAAGAAAGAATATTAAGAGCTGCAAAGGAAAAAGGCCAAGTAACATATAAAGGTAGACCTATTAGAATTACACTTGCTTCTCACTGGACACAATGAAACCCAGAAGGTTGTGGTCAAGCATTATACAGACATTAAGAGACCAGAGATGCCAGCCCAGACTAATATATACAACAAAATTTTCAATCACCATAGAAGGACAAAACAATATATTCCATGACAAAGCTAGATTTAACCAATACCTAGCCACAAACCCAGCCCTATACAAAATACTATAAGGAAAACTCCAACCAAGAAAGTTGGCTACACCAACAAAAACACAGACAATTGATGGTCTCATAACAGCAAATCCCAAAGAAGGGGAAAACACACAAATTAAAATCACCAACAATAAAAACTAAATTAACAGTAGATAGCAATCATTGGTAATTAATATCTCATAATGTAAAAGGACTCAACTTACCTATAAAAATGGCACAGGCTAACAGATTGGATACAAAAACAGAATTCATCCTTCTTCTGCATACAAAGAAACACATCTTAACCTCAAAGACAGACATTGTCTATGAGTAAAGAGTTGCGAAAAAATATACCAATCAAATGGACCTAAGAAACACTCAGGTGTAGCTATCCTAATATCTAACAAAATAGACTTCAAGCTAATATTAATCAAAAGAGAAAAGAAGGTCATTTCTTATTAGTCACAGGAAAAATCCATCAAAGGAAATATCAATACTGAACACCTATGCCCCAAATACAAGGATACCTTTGTATGTAAAAGAAACAATTCTAAGCTTAAATTATACATTAAACCCCACATGCTTATAGTGGGATACTTCAACACTCCCCTCTCAACACTGGACAGGTCAGTCAGACAAAAAGTGAACAGAGAAATAAGAGAACTAACAGATGTTATGATTCAAATGGACTTAACAGAAACCTGTAGAATATTCCATCCAAACAGAAAAGAATATACCTTCTTCTCAGTACCTCATGGAACCTTCTCAAAATTGATCACATACTTGGTAACAAAACAAACCTCAAAAAATACAAAAAAAATAGAATAACCCAATGTACCTTATCAGATCACCATGGTTTAAAACTAGAAGTCAACAGCAGTACTAATTCCAGAAAACCCACAAACACATGGAAATTAAACAATGCTCACCTGAATCATCAATGGGTCAAGGAAGAAATAAAGGGAGAAATTAAAGACTTCCTAAAATTCAATTAAAATGACCACACAACATACCCAAATTTATGGGACACAATGAAAGCCGTGTTAAGATAAAAATTCATAGCTCTAAATGCCTACATAGAGAAGCTGGAAAAATCACACATTAGTGAACTAATGGAACATTTGAAAACTTATGAACAAAAAGAAGCAAACTCACCCAAGAGAACTAGACAGCAGGAAATAATCAAAGTGCGAACTGAAACCAACAAAATAGAAACAAAGAAAACAATACAAAGAATCAATGCAATAAAGAGTTGGTTCTTAACTTTTGCCCAGTGATCTTGTCTGCTTCCAATTTCCAGGAGGATCTATATATGTTTTTCTTTAGGTTCACCTTATTATTTGGCTTTTTTAGGCTTGTGAACTATAGGTTCAATGTTCTTTGTTTATGGCTAGAGTCCTCTAACGAGTAAGTACATACCATATTCATCTTTTGGGGTCTGGGTTATCTCACTCAGGATAGTGTTTTCTATTTCCATTCACTTGCATGAAAAATTCAAGATGTCGTTGTTTTTTACCACTGACTAGTACTCTAACATGTATATGTTCCACACTTTCTTTATCTATTCTTCCACTGAGGGACATTCTTCCACTGTTTCAAGGTTTTGGCTATTACAAATAATGTTGCTATGAACATAGTTAAACAAATGGTTTTGTAGTATGATTGGGCATCTCTTGGGTATATTCCCAAAAGCAGTATTGCTGGATCTTGAGGTAGGTTGACTCCAAATTTCCTGAGAAACTGCCACACTAATTTCCAAAGTGATTGCACAAGTTTACATTCCCACCAGCAATGGATGAGTGTTCCCCTTACTCTACATCCTCTCCAGCATAGGTTATCATTGGTGTTTTTGACTTTAGCCATTCTGGTTCTGATTTTAGCCATTAGGGTTGCGATGGAGTAGAGGGAAGGGGAGGGGGAGAGAGAAGGGAGAAGGGAAGGATTGGGGCGAGACTGAGGGAGTGGGAGGGTTGAGATGGAGGAAGGGTGGATACAGGAGCAGGAAAGAAGATATATTCATTAAGGGAGCCATTTCAGGGTTGGCAAGAGACTTTGCTCTAGAGGGGATCCCTTGTATCCATGGGGAGGTCCCCAGCTAGCTCCTTGGGCAGCAGAGGAGAGGGTGCCTGAACTGGCCTTGTCCCATAGTCACACTAATGAATATCTCAAATATTACCATAGAACCTTTGTCCGGAGATGGACGGAGATAGAGACAGGGACCCACATCAGAGCACTGGACTGAGCTCCCAAGGTCCAGTTGAAGAGCAGAAGGAGGGAGAAGTTGAGCAAGGAAGTCAGAACCACAAGGGGTTGGTCCACCCACTGAGATAGTGTGCCTGATCTAATGGGAGCTCACCAAATCTAGCTGGGCTGGGACTGAACGAGCATGTGATCATCAAGCCTGACTCTCTGAAATGTGGCTGACAATGGGGGCTGACTGAGAAGTCATTCATAATGGCACTGGAACTTGTTTCTACTGCATGTACTGGCATTTTGGGACCCTAGTCTGCTTGGATGCACACCTTCCTAGGCCTGGATGGAGGGGGGAGGGCCTTGAACTTCCCACAGGGCCGGGTATCCTTCCCTCTCTTAATACTGGAGGGGGAGAGAGGAGAGTGAGTGGGGGAGTGGGATGGGAATAGGAGGAGGGGAGGAAGTGGAAATTTTTGAACGGAAAAATAAATTTAAATTTGAATGGAAAAAAAAAGAGTTGGTTCTTATGAGGCTACAATTACCCTGATAGAAAAACCACAGAAAGACATTACTGAGAAAGACAATTACAATCCAATCTTACTAATGAACATTGATGCAAAAATACTAAATAAAATTCTGGCAAATCAAATCCAAGAACACATCAGAACCATCATCCACTATGATCAAGTCGACTTCATCCCAGAGAAGCAGTTGATGGTTCAATATATGAAAATCTATCAACGCAATCCACCATATAAACATGCTGAAAAATAAAAACCCACATGATCTCCTTATTGATGCTGAAAAAGCTTTTGAAAAAATACAACATCCTTTCATGATAAAAGTCTTGAAGAGAGCAGGGATACAAGGAACATACCTAAACATAATAAAGACAATATACAGCAAGCCAACAGCCAACATAAAACTAAATAGAGAGAAACTCCCAGTGATTCCACCGAAATCAGGAACAAGACAAGGTTGTCCACTCTCTCCATATCTATTTCAATATAGTTCCTGAGGTCCTAGCTAGAGCAATAAGACACAAAAAGAAGATCAAGGGTGTTGTCTGAGATTTTCTGTCCTACCTTATTTCCACAGTCATTAAGTCCCAAAGAAATCACGCAGAGGTCTACATTAAACATAAACTGATTGGCCCACTAACTCAGGCTTCTTATTAACTCTTATAACTTATATTAGCCCATTATTCTTGTCTATGTTAGCCACGTGGCTTAGTACATTATTCAGTGAGTCAGCCATATCTTGATTCTTCTGTGGCTGGGTCAGGACTGCACACTAGGACTTTCTTCTTCTCAGAATTCTCTTCTCATTGACCCGCCTCCACGTCCTGTCTGGTTTTCCCTGCTATAATTACTGCCAGGCTACTGGCCAATCAGCATTTATTTAAAATATAATTGACAGAATACAGACCATTGTCCACACCACAAGGGGATACAAATCAGAAAAGAAGAAGTCAAACTCTCACTGTTTGCTGATGATATAATAGTTTACATAAGCAACCAAAAAATTCTACCAAGGGACTTCTACAACTCATAAACACTTTCAGTAATGTAGCAGGATAACAAGATTAACTAAAAAAATCAGTAGCACTCCTGTACACAGAGGATAAAAGGGCTGGGGAAGAAATCAGAGAAACATCACCCTTCACAATAGTCACAAACAGCATAAAATATCTTGAAATAACTCTAACCAAACAAGTAGACTTGTATGACAAGAACTTTAAAACTTTAAAGAAAGAAATTGAAGAAGACACCAGAAAGTGGAAAGATCTCCCATGTTCTTGAATAGACAGAATTAACGTAGTAAAAATGGCAATCTTCTACAAATTCAATGCAATGCCCATTAAAATCCATGCAAAATTCATTATAGACCTCAAAAGAACAGTACTCAACTTCATATGGAAAAACAAAAACAAAAAACAGGATAGCTAAAACAATCCTGTACAATAAAAGAACTTCTGGAGGCATCACAATCTCTGACTTCAAACTCTACTACAGAGCTACAGTACTGGAAACAGCCTGGTATTCTGATAAGAACAGACAGGAGGACCAATGGAGCCAAATATAAGACCCAGATATTAATCCACACACCTTCGAACACCTGACTTTTGACAATGAAGTAAAAATATTAAATGGAATGAAAGAAAGCATATTTAACAAATTGTGCTGGCATGACCGTATATCAACATGTGGAAGAATAAAAACAGACCCATATCTATCACAATGCACAAAACTCAAGTCCAAATGGATCAAAGACTTCAACACAAAGCCAGCCACACTGAACATTATAGAAGAGAAAGTGGGAAGTACACTTGAATGCATTGGCACAGGAGACCACCTCCTAAATATAGACCCAGCAACAAAGACACTGAGAGAAAAAATTAATAAATAGGACCTCCTGAAACTGAAAAGCTTCTGTAAAGCAAAGGATATGGTCAACAAGACAAAATGACAGCCTACAAAATAGGAA